GGTGGAACCTGGATTCTGGCTCAGAACCCGGTATCCGAACTGACCCTAATCTCTGTGGTCTTGCAAGGCGTTGGGGGCCATGTAGTCACTGCTGAGTGGGAGGGAAGAACAGACGAGGTGGGCAGGTTGGAGCTGCAAAGGAGAGCTTGTAGAACACTACAATTGGTAACCAGCACAATTGCATGGGTTTGTAGGCTAACAGTGGACATGTGTGACATGTTTCGTAGCAAAGATGTGTTGGATTTGACGATATACGACAGAGTGGTATACTAGGCATGCGCCAGAACCCTTCGCAGAATGGAGAAAACGTACATCATGGACCTCTTCTGTACCATATGCCCTCCGTAACATCCGCCAACGGCTTCCAGTGAGCCTTCCAGGTATCTCCATGTGATGGATGTTTAAGGAAATATGTGCGATGGATGCAGAAGACGGCGTGAAATCGACTGAAAGCAGCTGGATCGTCCGTTAAACGAGTTGCTAACTTGAAGCCAGTACCGTGCCCTGCGCGTCGTAATCCTGAGCTAGAATATGCAAGAATGAGGTGGTTACATTGAGCTGTCGAGGAGATATCGTCGTCCAAAGTTCCTTTGGGGGCGCTTAGGGGGGGGGGAAACGGGCAAATGCGTGAGATACGGCGCGGCGCTCTCGCGACAAGCGAGCTGAAACCAGCTGTATACGCGCCCGTGGATGGCGAGCACGATCACGTGGGAGAGATACGTCTGTTGAGCGCCTGCGGTTGGACCGTGTCCCTCCTCCACCTCCAACCCTCCCACCCTGCGACCACCTCCCTCCTCACCTCCTACCATGCCTCCATCCACAAAGTCCTGCAAACCGGCTACTCGCACTACCAGGGCTACCTCTACAGACACTCGAACAACGGTCGACCCCTCTGCAGATGATCTTGCCGACAAGCTTGCCACCAAACTCTCCATCTCAGACTCTAAAGCCAAGCCTAGGCCTGGCACTCTCCAAACATCTCAGCAGGAGCGCAAGGCTGCCGTCATGCGTGCCGTCAATGCCGCATCCAAGTCTCTCAACCCTCGTCGATTCGGGATGGAGGATGTCACGGTCCAACACATTCGACCGCCCTACCACCGCCTCTGCCACACAGACTGCCACCTCTGCCCGCAAAGACCTTACCACTCTGCGAAACCTCAGTCCGGGCCAAGTAGACATTGAGCGAGCAGCGTCGAGTATCATCGCCAAGCTCGTGACTCTTGAGATGGTACGTCTCCCTTCCCCACTCTTCTGACACTCCTCTCATCCTTCGTCAAGTACCACGCCGCCCTTGGCCTCCTCCAGGATATGCGTCAACCTCTCATTGCCCTCTATCACCCTGCGCCCCCTCCTCCTTCTGCGCCCTCTCCTCTCGACTTGCTCGCCCTCCCCCTCTTCGACCCACCCCTCTCAGAACTCCATATAAGTCTTGTATCTACCTATCTCATACAAATCCTGCAAGTCCTTTCAAACACTACGACCGATATCCCGGCCCTCGTCGCGGCGCTACACGATCCAGCTACCCCCACTCTTCTCGCCTAGACAGCTGCCATGTCCACCCTCCCAGAGAAGCAATGCGACCAGTTCTTTGCCCGCGCGTACACTATCACCTCTCGCCTCGCATTAACCCCTGCTCCCGCCTCATCTGCTTACTCACTTCGGATATACTCGCTCCTCTGCCTCGCGCACACACGACCATCCGTTGTCTCCCCTAACACATTCTGGGAGCAGGCCGTCAAGTTCACCGCCATGTTCACCAACACAGACTCGGTCTCTCCGGAAGGCACCGCTCAGTCCGTGTCCGACTCGTGCGCGAGGCTCGTTGCCGCCGTGGAGAACAGGCAGGATTGCGCCGACTTCATGGCCGGGGTCGCTTTCGCTCGGTTTTGCAAATACTGGAGTCGCTTCACGAAGCAGGTGAGTACTATATCCTAGTGGTCCCGACGTCTCTCGTTCCCGCCCGAATGTCCTCCGTGTCTCTGCACGCGCCCAGGCGGATGGTCAGAACTGGCCGTCCTTTCTACTGTGGCTCGCGAAGCGATCCAGGACGCTTGTGTCTCGCTGTTGTTCAGACGTCTTAGCCGTCTCACGTGGACGCTGATCTCACTCCTGCAGGCGGGCGATTTGCGCGCTCTCAAGCAAGTAGGCCGGCTCGTACAATGTGGAAGCCACGAATCCCAAGCAGAGGAAGACCGCACTGTCATCGAAGCATCCGCGCTGGCTATGTCGCTCGCCCGCGCTCTCGCCGTGTTCGAGCAGTTGACTGGTGAGTAGTTCTTGCGTATGTTCACACCTTCAGGTAAGCGGAGCTGACCCGGAAATGAGCAGAGCACGCGCCAGATTTTGCGTCCAAGATTAGCGAGTTCACTGTTGACATCAAGGGTTGCGGGCCCTCGCTCGCACAGAGCGGTGGCGACCACGACCAGGTGAAGCGCGGGCTTGAGAGGCTGCGTCGAGCCGTAGTCAAAGTTGTCGAGCCATTCCAGGAGTCAAGGACCTCTTTCGCGCCCGAAGTCAAGAGTTCTGCGAGAGCACTCTTAGAGCAGATCGTGGACGTACATTGCGAGGCAATCACTCGGGTTCGCCATTCGTCCGATCACTTTGCATTATACTGATTATCCCCGTAAAAGCGGGATACGTTCTCATCGAGCACGCTCACCCCTGCCCTGGAAAGCCTGTTCACCCTCGCGCGAACATCATTTGCATTGAACAACCCAGACACATACACCGTTGCGCATTCCCATCTTGCACGCGCCGCTGCTCTTCTCTCCGACCCACCTGCGTCTAGCTCAGTCTCCCAACTAGCACTCGCAAGTTACATACGCTGCGTCGCGGGGGTATACCACTACCTTGCGGGACAGCTGCATCAAAGCGGACGCTATGACCATACAGTGCGCTTAGCGGACGAGGGCTGCCGTCTCGGTCAACGCGCGCTGCAGATGTATCACGCGGCCAAGAACGATGCGAGCACAGACGTTGATAGCGAGAGCAAGGGTAAAGAGGAGGCTTGGAAGCTGCTTGAGGAGCAGCTCTACAGACGGTGGGAGCTCTTGGCTGTGTGCCATGCGAAGCCGGGCGACCGCAAGGTACGTTGATTTGACTTCTTCACGAGCTTCTCCAGCTAATCCGGACGTAGTCTGCGTACAAAGCGTTCCTCAACAGCGCCAGCGCCTTCCCCTTCACTCAGCACAAGTTGGTTGAGCTAGCACGCACAACTCCGTCCACCGTGCTCTTCGAGGTCTCCCCCGCGCTCAAGCAGCTCGGCGCACTCGTAGACCGCGTCACGTACATCGCTTCGTGCGAACTCTTCCAAGGGCCCGAGGCTGTCTCCGCCTTATTCTGGTTTGCTATCGGCCCGTCTACATTGAGCAAGGACGATGTCGATTGCGTCCTAGGTGCAATTCTCGAGCGGCAGATAAGCAGCCTGGAAGAGAGCAAATGGAAGCAGGGCGTACAAAGTGTCTTGCGCCGGCTGATCGAAGACGCGCTCGAGGTGTACACGGCGGAGCAACGTCCTGTGCGACGTGCGCGCGTCCTGCTCAAGAGACTCGAGCTGTCCTACCACTCCGGCTTGACGAGCACGGAGCAGAACGAAGATGCAACGCAGTATCATGAGGAAGCCCAGAGCCTCCTCTCGCGCCAGGTGCGTCGTCTCGACTTCTCGCCTGAGACTCCTCGTGGACGACATCGTTTCCGAGCTGGCACTGAATGGATGTGCGCTGACAGGACTTTGCGCTTGACGGCGCCCTCGCCCAATATTCATCCGAGTTCTCGGCCTCGCTCCATCTTTGGCTTGCCGTCCACGCGCATCGCACGCGGGACCCTGCACTCGCGCCCTCCGTCATCTCTCACACAGAGGAGGCTTGCAAGATCATCCGCGCCTTGGTTCCCGCCCCCGTTCCTAGGTATTCTGTCGGCTCAAGGCCGTCCCTCGGCGGTACTTCGAAAGCGCCGAAGAACAAGGTTGTCGAGCCTGCTCCCGCCGAGTCGCAACTTCCGCGAAGGATGACGAGAGGCAAGACCGCCGCCACGATGCGCACGAAGGCTGCCCCGCGTGCGACGAAGGCCAAGGCTCCACCCGTTACGCCAAGGAGACGGAGAGCGCTGGATCCTGTTTCACTCAACGCGGCAGTTGTGACTCCTCCGAAAGCTGCTGCGACTGTCGGGATCCAGGGCAAGATCGAGTTTGACGACTTCTCAAAGTTCATCGGGCTCATCCGTAAGTGCCTAGGTGCATGTATCGTGGACGTTGTAGCTAATATATCGGATAGGTATGGTGTCTCATCTGATGGGATTGGTCGGCCACATCCTCGTCAGAGTGCAGCTACTCAACGCAGCTAGGCGATTGAGCGAGAGGCATACTGGCGTAGCTTCTGAAGGTAAGCTGAGTCACCTGAAGTATCCAAGGATACGGTCTGGTATTGACTGTGGTGCACAGTGTACGTCTCTTTGACGATCGACACCGCGCACGAGTATGTCAAGCTGGGACGAGCTGAGAAGGCTGGGACGAGCTGAGAAGGCTGCGTCCATTCTAGCCCACGTTCTCCCTGCTGTGCGCAGTGGCTCCCTATCCCCGGACGTAGTGGTTGTCCTGTTGTTGCGGTACTCAGAGGCACTTGCAGCGTCCGGCGAAGTGCTCAAGGCGTGGGTGTCTCGTCATTGCCATTGCGGTCTCTGCCTCATTTCATGATACTCTCAGCTCGATGACATACTGCGATGCCGTCGCTGCTGCTGCCGACTGTATAGTTGAGGAGAAAGGCTTGCCAACGGCGCAGCGCGTCCGTGTGCGGGCCGCACTCTTGGAGCGTGCCGCGCAAGCTGCGTTATCATATGCCGCCGTCCAGGATGCAAGGGTAAGCGTCATGGCTGTTTCTGAGGTGTCCTCTGAATCTTTGCCTTCCAGGACGATCCTACGTCTTCCATCGAGGGACTCATGCAAGCGTTGCGTCTCTGGAACCGCGCTATCGATACGCTTTCCCGACTGCAGCCCTCGACACCGACGTCAAAGCAGCCTGCCGAGGACAATCCATTCGAAGTGACTGCTAAGCAGCCGGAAGATTCCAGCCCTTCCATCCAAGAGACGCGGATACTCTCTCCTCGCGCCTCGAAAGCGCACGTCTTCGTAGACTCCTGCGGGTGGCGTCTGGCTGAGGGTCTGCTCTCGACCCTGTTGTCCCTTTCTCAGGCTTACGCAGCTCGCGGGTCGGCACGAGAAGCTGTGTTTTTCGTCCAGCAGATCAAAGACCTCGCGGAATCGTTGCATGCCCCTGTTATGATTAGCCGCGCTCTTGCCCAACATGGCGAACTTCAAATACAGCTCGGTCAACTGCAGGAGGGTCATCAGTCTCTCATGCGCGCCGCAGAGCTCGTTATGCATCTTAAGGGACCGGACGCGGCTGAAATCAGGCGGCTACAGGGCCGGTACAACCAGCTCAGCGCCGACTCAAAGGGCGCACGGCAATAACCCTCGTTGTAGTCTCTACAGCCAGAGGATGTCTACACTACACCTATCGCTACCGTACCATGCGGCCAGATCGTTGGCCTCTTGTTGAACGAGTCGCACTTCATCTATTCGTCATGTTCGACAGCACACGAGCTGTCTGGCATCTTTTCGGGCTACTGCGGAGCAGTTCGGGGTGGGCGTCCTTGGCGAGCTCCCACTTGTCCCGGGCGTGAGCCATGGCGGAGACCGCAGCGTTCCTTACGCGCTCTACAGCCCAGACAATGCAAGCGGCGCGACAGACCCGGGGGGTTCAGAGTGGAAAGAAACGATGGCTGGTGTCGCATCGAAGGTCTGGCAGTTCCTATCAAAATGAAGGGGACTTCCTCGGCCATTCGCTCCCTCTCTTCTTTATTCACACGTGAACCATTGGATTTCTCTCGCAGAGTCCGTATGCATAAGTATAGTATACAGCTATTCCGATCGCTTCACTGCACTCGCCAGTCGATTATCACAAATCGCTCGAAGGTGCCTGCGCGTAGGCAATCTCTGCATCATCGTCGACTACGAAGCTGTCACGCTCGTATTCGTCCTCATCGCCTCGTAACGGCGGAGTCACTGCGCGCCGATATCTCGACGTCCCACCGCGATCTAGTCTCAGCGCCGCCTGGCCGGGTCTAGCGGGTCTGTTCGCAAAAACGGGCCCGCCACCTCCCGGAGCCTGCGTCATGAGGCTCCGACGGTAGATGGCGCTTTGGTCGTAAGACGGGGACGCTTGCGTTTCTGCTGGCTCCTCTAGGAACGCGTGATCGTCGCTGTCAGGGACGATATAGTCGAGGTCGGGCTGTGAGGACCCGACGCTCATTTCGTCGCCCGAGTGGGTTGCCTCAACGTCGATCCAGGGGTTGTGTCGCCACGCTTCTGCAGTGTCTTTGAATTTGCGCTTCTTCCTGGGCGGCTGAGCGGGCGGAGGGGTGGGTGACTTGGGACACTCATATTTCAAGCGACGTTGGGATAGCGGAGGAGGCGCAAGAGGAGAGGATGCTAGGTCAAGAACGTCTCCTGTCACTCCTCTGCGTGCTTGCTTGCCCAGAGGTCTGACAGCGAAAGACGGCTCGGGTGGCAAGTCGTCGGATAGTGATGGAGAGGTAGGTACAAGGTTGGACGCCAGCGCGGGAGGCCCCATGTCCGACTTGCGAGTCGTTATCGACCTTCTCGGGGATGAGACGGAGTTGTTGGCTGATGGACGTGTAGATGGTTTCGGATGGGGCTCGTCTACGAATTCAACCTCGTAGTCATCAGACGGTAGTCTGAGCGGTGACATCTCACGCTCAGGAGACGACAGGAAGAGAGGCTCATCGGAAAATGAACCAGCGGGGGCCATCGGTTGTGAAGGACCAGGTGCTGCGGAGTCGATCGCCTCATCGTCCGTGTCGTCACTGGAGACGAGATCCAACTGTGTCAGCGTCGTCTGCTTCGCGCTCTTCTTCGGCCCTGGTGGTTTCTTCCTAGGCCCTGCCGCCGTCGCACTCCGAGCAAGGCCTTTCTTCATTTTGCCCTTAGACGAGTCCGCGGCAGACGTCGACTTCACCCTCCGAGGCTGCGCGAAGAGACCGGCCTCGATATCCTCATCATCAGAGTCATCCTCGTCCGCATGCTCCCAATCCACCCTGCCCGGCTTCTGGGTTGCCTTCTTGCGGGTGGCACTTCCCTTTGTGAGCAGCTCGGCCACGCCAACGAAGCCCTTCGCCGCCGCCGTCGGAATGTTATGCATAGGGTCATCGTTGCGCTTCCGCTTCGGGCCCTTTGGCGAACCGGTCGCATTGGAGCCCTTGCGGGACGGGCGCTCCTCGCGGATGTATGGCTCAATCTCCATCTCCATCTCCCTGCATTCGGGCTCAATGTCGGGGGGAAGGAGTCGGTCGACGTCCCCATAGACCTTGAGGTCTGACGCGCGTACGATGAAGTGCTGGACATTGGCGTAGCTAGACTGCGCCTTTTGCCAATTCTGCTCTTCTCGACCTTGCGCGAGGAGGATGTGCACCGTGCCGGACGCCTTACGGCCCGTTCGTCCGATACGTTGTAACTGTGTAGCAACGTTGAACGCTCAGTGTTGGTACGTCGTTGAGTGTGACTGCAGGGAGTGAACTCACCATGCGAATAGGTGTCTTCTGTGCATCGTAACAAACGATGAGGTCGACTTCGCCGATGTCGAGACCTTCCTCGCCGATTGAAGTTGAGACAAGGACATTGTATTTGCCGGCCTTGAACTGCTCGATGACCTAA